CTTTAAAGGTTCTATTCCTATAAGGTATACTCTCTATTTTTCTTTGGTACTGTAGACAGGGTCTCACTATGTTGTCCGGCTGGTCTTCCACTTTAGCTCTGAAAGTATTCAAGTTACAAGCATGAGCCCCTCACTGCTCTGCCCTCACATTACTTCATTTTAAGGAACTATTTGGGGAGACAAGATGAGCTTGAAACCAATGCTATTAGGTTATTAAGTATGGAGATGTCTGATTTCCTTAAGTACTATATTTGACAATTATATCCTAACATTGCATTTGACATTTCTTGTGTCTGTTTTGTATTCATGAAGTACATCCTCATTCTTTCAATGCACATTTTAGTTTGTGATTATCTTTCAAATTTTTTAGAGCAACTTTTGTGAAACCATCGGATAAGTAAAAATTTCATGTTATTTTTGAATATGAGTTCTGTTGTGGAACCAATGCAGCACAGACAGCTCAAAGTATTTCAGTAAGTGTTTGGAAAGGATGTGGCTAATGAATGCACAGTATGTTATGGTTTGAGAAGTTCCATTCTGGTGACGTAATCTTGAAAATGAGCATTGGGCTGACCTGAGAACAAGGTGATAGTGATGAGCTGAAAGCTGCAGTGAAGTGAATCCATCTCAACCTTTGTGTAAATTAGCAGCAAGGTTTGACATTACTATTCCAATCATATGAGACCATTTAAAACAAACCAGCAAGGTAAAAAGGGATAGATGGGTACCACATGAATTAAATGAGCATCAGAAGAGAAATCTTAGCCAGGCGCCGGTGGCTCACGCCTGTAATCCTAGCACTCTGGAGGCCTGAGGCGGCGGATTGCTCGAGGTCAGGAGTTCGAAACCAGCCTGAGAAGAGCGAGACCCGTCTCGTAGCTAGTAATATACAAAGAAATTAATGTTACTTTAATTTTCTGATATATAAAATTCTGTTGTGTTGGTTGTACATGCCTGTCAGTCCACGCTACTTGGGAGACGGGAGGCTGAGGCAGCAGGATTGCTTGAGCCCAGGAGTTTGAGGTTGCTGTGAGCTAGGCTGACGCCACGGCACTCACTCTAGCCTGGGCAACAAAAAAGAAGAGAAATCTTCTCAAAGCTTGCCTTTCTTTGCTGTCATGACATAAAGGCGAACCATTTCTACACCATATTGTGATGTGTGATGAAAAAAATAGATTCTTTTTGACAATCTCAAGCATTTGGCACACTGGTTGGGTAAAGATGAAGTGCTGAAACACAGTCCAAAACTGAATATTCATCAAAAAAAGCTAATGGTGTCTGTTTGGTGGTCCAGCGTTGGTATTAGCCACTACAGCTTCATGAAACCTCGTCTATCGATTATAGCAGATATCTACTGCAACCAATTGGACAAAATGATGAGGATGCTTGCGATTAAGCAGCCACGACTGAGCAATAGAGACCCAAGCCAATCCTCTTGCAAGACAACGCTCAACCACATGTCACACAAACACACTGCTCCAACTACAAAAGCTGGCCTTGGAAACTCTCTGTCATCCACCATATTCACCAGGCCTTGCACCAACTTACTGCCACTTTTTCCAGGCTTTGGACCACTTATTCCAAGGAAAAATAGTCAATTCTCAACAAGCTGTGGAAAATGCCTTCATGATTTCATTGCTATTTGCTCTCCAGGCTTCTTTGCTGCTGGCGTAAGCAAGCTACCATTAAGATGGCAAAAAAGCTCAAAAAATAAAAAAAAATTAAAAAATAAAGATGGCAAAACTATGTCAATAGTTTAGGCACATACTTTGATTAATCGTACCGCTTCTTGTTTGAGATAAACTTTGGATTCGAAATCGGACGTTTCATATTTAATGACCTAATAGTTCTGAATGCTTAGAGAGGTGACCTGACTGATTCAATTAAAAACGGAAGCATAAAAATGTAACATAGATTTAGTTATTCTTAGGGAATGGCCTCACAATCTCAAAAGTTATAATTTCCTTTCAATTAAACTTTTAAATGATAAACATAAGACAAATAAAAAGGAAAACAACCCACTATACTTTCACCATTATAAATATGGGTATTTGTGCCTTGGGATAAACTTTCCAGGGTAACATCACAAGTTCGAAAATCACTAAAATTCAAAACAACACAAAAGTAAAGATGAGGTTGCTACTTAAAAACTGACAAATGATTCAAAAAGTGGTTCTAGTAAAGATGAAGCTACCAATGTCAGAGATTTATAAAATTTAATAAAACTATTTTATGAAACATGAGAGTGGAATAAATAAGCAATACTTGTAATTAATATTTTATAGAATTTATAAAGTATAATTTAAATATGTATATGTAACTAAATTAATAAAAAATTAAAAACAATGGTCTATATTATTTGCATCTGTATAAGTTTATATCCAAATTGGCCCTCTTCAAAATTTTAAAAAATATCTTCTCATTGGCACAGTGGAGGAATAACCTTTTATCTGTGGCCTTAAATGATGACTTAAGCCTAAAGTGTAACATGCAGAAAAAAAGTTAAATACTTCTATTTTGTTCCCATTTTACTGCTACCTACTGTAATTACCTTTAGGAGGGATAAGCTAATATGATCCTGGTCTTTAACAACCTATTCAAAACTTAGAATGCCAATGAACTTACGTGTTGGTCTTTTAATTCCCCCTGGCATCCATAACAAAATCTGAAAAAGAGAGTTTAAGAGCAATTTTTTAAATTCACTCATTCAAATAGTTCAGTAGAATCTTAATAACTAGAACCTTTAATGAATAAGTAACTGTTTGACATGACTTTTAGGAGAAAGAGTTTAAAAATATCAATAAGTTTTAAAAATCCCACAGTATGTACTAAGATCATCTGACAGCTCAAAATTTAGTTTTTATTTTTATTAAGGCTAAATATGAGCATGCTTTCTCAACTGGGATTCTGTGAGAGAATTAAGTCCTACAGAAAATGATCTGAGTTACTATCTTTCATTCTTCTAAAGATGGTAGACACCTGTAATCCTAGCACTCTGGGAGGCTGAGGCAGGCAGAATCATCAAGGTCAGGAGTTCGAAACCAGCCTGAGCAAGAGCGAGACCCCATCTCTACTAAAAATACAAAGAAAATTAATTGGCCAACTAAAATATATAGAAAAATTAGCTGGGGCATGGTGACATAGCCTGTAGTCCCGGCTACTCAGGGCGCTGATGAGCAGAAGGATCACTTAAGCCAAGGATTTGAGGTTGCTGTGAGCAGGCTGACACCATGGCACTCTACGCCGGGCAACAGAGTAAGAAGATCTGTCTCAAAAAAAAAAAAAAAAAAAGATGGTAGACAGCTGGTACATTCTAGATGGACAGAAGTTAATTTATTATATAAATGGACCTCGAATGGTTAATTTCAGGAGTGAGTTTAAAGAGTTAGAAGTTCTCAAACTTAAGACAAAAATTGTTAGTTCCCTGTATACCTTCCCCTACTTCATTTGCTTCCAGAAGCACTTTCAAAACTTTTCAACTAAGGCCGGGGCGCTGTGGCTCACGCCTGTAATCCTAGCTCTTGGGAGGCGGCGAGGCGGGCGGCATTGCTCAAGGTCAGGAGTTCAAAACGCCTGAGCAAGAGCGAGACCCCGTCTCTACTATAAATAGAAAGAAATTAATTGCCACTGATATATACTAAAAAAATTAGCCGGCATGGTCGGCGCATGCCTGTTAGTCCCAGCTACTCGGAGGCTGAGCAGAAGGATCACCGTCAAGGCGCCAGGAGTCTTGAGCGTTGCTGGTGAGCTAGAGCTGACGCCACGGCACACTCTACGCCTGGACAACAAGTGAGACTCTGTCTGCAAAAAAAGAAAACAAAAACTTTTACTATTTTGAATAGTTACCTTCTGCCATAGTAACGAAGCATCCGAGGTAGCTTTACTGGCAGAAGTAATATCAAAAAAAGTTAAAGTTTTGAATTTTATAATTAGTTACTTTAGTATGGGTCTGGTTTCCTTCAATATGTTAGGAGCACTTGACAGTCCTTGTAATCTAGAAAGTTCTGCCCTTCAATAGTAGAAAATTTCCCTGACCTATTTCTTTGATGATTTTCTACTCTACATTTCATCTTTTCTTTTTTTCTCATGTTATTCTGATATTGGACTTTCTGGATAAATCCACTAGTTTTCTTATCTTTACTCTCCTATTTTGCATCTCTTTATTTTATACCTTTTACTCCTACTTTCTAGTATATTCTTCAACTATATCTTCCAATCCTTCTACAGGTACAGGGTTTTCATTTCTACTATATTAAATCACACCCATCAAGTAAATAAATGCAATCAAAAACAATGAGATTTTTTTTTTTACTTGTCAGTTTGGCTAAAGTTTCTCATAATAGCTTAATGTTGGCCAATTGAGGGAAAACAGTAAATGAAACCTCTTTGAAAGATAATTTTATAATAATATGTATCAAAATTCGCAAAACATACCTAACTTTTGACTCAGTAATTCTGCCTCGAAGAATTTACCATGCATTTGTACTTGCATTAATGTTTAAAGATACAGATATAAGCGTTATTTGTTAATAGCAAAAGAAATAATCTTAACTTTCCAACAGGAGGAAGTTGGATATAAACCATGATACATCCATAAAATAGGCAACAATTTCAAAAACAAGATTGATCTGACTTCTAAATGATTTTTTAAGTGTGAAAAGCAAGGAGATAGATGGATACATAATTGTCTGCTAGCCAGTAAGTATCTAAATGGTTAAATCCTGGGTGTTCTTTTTTTTTTTTTAGACAGAGTCTCACTCTGTTGCCCAGGCTAGAGTGAGTGCCATGGCGTCAGCTAGCTCACAGCAACCTCAATCTCCTGGGCTCAAGGGATCTCTGCCTCAGCCCTGCGCAGGTAGCTGGGACTAAGGCATCGCGCACACATGCAGCCCGGCTAACTTTTTCTATATACATATAGTTGACCAATTAATTTCTTTGTATTTATAGTAGAGAGCGGGTCTCGCTCTTGCTCAGGCTGGTTTCGAACTCCTGACATCAAGGATCGCGCCTGCCGCGCGCATCCAGAGTGCTAGGATTACAGGCGTGAGCCACCGCGCCCGGCCTGGGTGTTCTTAAAAGTAGCAAATCCTTATCTCCCAAAAACTATTCTACAAAAGATTGACCATCTCTATTTCAGACTTTATTAGTGAGATTTCTCATGAATAGCACTGAAGTACTTACAGGTTTTAGATTAATTATGTTATGCCAGCCTCTTATTTTCAGTCATCTGCTAGAGTTGGATTGTACTGAGTCAACTGGGTCAATTAAAAATATTTTTAGAAATTTTGAGAGCTGGTTGTTAGTTGGTAGCTACAAAGTGGCCATGGTGGGGGTATTTATACCATGGAAATCAGGAAATACTACCAATGAGGGCTTTTAAAAAAAAAAAAAAAAAACAACCTTTTGGAGAGCTAATTTACCAGTATACCATCACTCCCATCATACATAGATGGGTTTAGGGAAATTAACAGATTTCTGGAGATCCAGATCTGTTTCATAATGAGTCATTTCAATCATAACCAAGACATTCTTCAATTCATTTTCTATATTAGAAGTATTTTTGTCCAACTTAATATGACTATCTTTTTTAAGGTAGTAATCTATTCAAGCATTAGCTCATCACATATAACAGATGTAAGTTAATCAAAACTCACGTACCTTTCTCCATTATATTCTTCTAGGGGAATTTCTTGAAAAGCATCCAAAGGAAATAAATGATGGTAAGACCGTGCCAAATGTGGAGCAGACACCAAAGTAAGACCTAACACATAAAGCAGAGAGACATGTTTAATAGCCCAAACCTCATAAAGGCAATGACTGAAAAGCCAATCAGCAGAAATGGGATGATTAGAAAAAAACAAAACAAACAAAAAAGCAAAGGCTGAAAAGCCAAAAGTAAAACTTAGGCTACATATTTTCAAGTTCTTTTAGGATGGCAGGTATTCATTTCTTCAGTTTACCTGTGGCCATAAAAGGAGATTCAAAGATAACAGTCTTAGTTCTGTCATCTTGGGCTATTTGCTCACTTATAAATGAAATAAAATTCTGCAATTCTATTACGTTAGTTCCTCATTTTATGTATGTATGTATGTATGTGTGTGTGTGTATATATATATCTTATAAAGGTAAAAAACTGGAAAGATACCTACTAGATCCTTTGCATTGCCTCTAAAGCATATACTTTTTTCAGAAAGAGGATCAGGAAACTCTTCTAGAAGGCCATGTTTATTAGAAGTGGTACTAGGCATTCAATGAAAAAAGTAATCTATTTCTCTTTGCATAGATTAAATCCAGAAACGGGCAAAACTCTGTATTTACATTTATTTTGGCAACAATATAGATAAGTTATTCAAGATTAATTTATTGAATAATGAATAGTTGGTTTCTTACCACAGATTTTACATTCGACAGGTAGCTCACAGTACTTTGCCCGACACTGTGGACAGAAATAGCCTCCTAATGTAAGCCCTGGCTCCGTATTACTATCCAAATGCCTGTGGGGGGAAAAATTACTTTAAAAGGGTGATATATAAAGATACAAAAAGTTACAGCTAAAGAAAGTATGCTACCTTGATCTTAAAATCTTCGGTCTATTTTAAAACCTATTTAAAAGTCTATGTAGGCTGGGCACGGTTGCTAATGCTTGTAATCCTAGCAATCTGGGAGGCCGAGGGGGGAGGATCGTTTTGAGCTCAGGAGTTCGAGATCAGCCTGAGCTAGAGTGAGACCCCATCTCTACTAAAAAAATAGAAAGAAATTAGCTGGACAATTTAAAATATATAGAAAAAATTAGCCAGGCATAGTGGCACATGCCTGTAGTTCCAGCTACTTGGGAGGCTGAGACAAGAGGATCGAATGAGCCCAGGAGTTTGAAGTTGCTATGAGCTAGGCTGACGCTATGGCACTCTAGCAAGGACAACAGGGTGAGACTCTGTCTCAAAAAAAAAAAAAAGTCTTTAGAAATCTGTGAGTACATCTTATAGAGCTTACTTATACTATGTTCTTATTTTTGTCTTTTTTTCTCTGTTATTTTCAAGTTTCTATTATTGTCTTTGAATTCACTAATCTTTTCTTTTGTAGTGACTAATCTGTTAATCTCATCCAATTGTATTTTTCATATCAAACACTGTATGCTTCATCTCTAGAAGTTTGATTTGGATCTTTTTCATACCTTCCACATCTGTTATCATTCTCATGTTCTCCTCTACATTCCTAAACATATAAAGGATAGTTATAATTGTTGTTTTAACATCTTTGTCTATTAATTCTATCAACTGTTATTTCTGGGTATGTTTCCATTCTATGAATTTTCTCCTTGTTATGGGTCATATTTTCCTTTGCATCCCTGGTAATTTTTGATTGGCTGCCAGACACTGTAAATTTTGCTTTGATTTGGGTGCTGGACTTTTTTTGGTATTCCCTTAAATATTTCAGGCTTTTTTCTGGAATATACTTAAATAACTTGGAAATAGTTATTGTTTAAAATAGTTATTGTTTAAATCTGTTTAAAATTTGCTTTTAAGCTTTGTTAGACTGATCCAGAACAGCTGTTAGTCTAGAATTAATTTGGTTCCATTACTGTGGACACCATTCAATGCCTGTCTTGCTAACAGGTCTCTCCACACAGACTTGTAAGACATGAACCTGCCCTATGCAAGCTCTGGGAATCGTTTTGTCTGCTGCTTTCTAGTGGTTCTTTCCCTGACTTCCATTAGTTTCCTCACATGAATGTGCTGATCAATATTCAGTTGATGACTCATGGGGCAAGTCTCTGCAGATCTCCAGAGAGTTCTCTCTGTGCAGCTCTTTCCTCTTCAGTACTCTGCCCTGCAAAATTATTGCCATCTCAGCCTTCTCAAATGCTGAACTTTGAGTCTCACTCTGTCACCCTGGGTAGAGTACAGTGGCATCATCATAGCTCATTGCAGCATCAAACTCCTGGGCTCAAGTGATCCTCCTGCCTCAGCCTCCCAAGTAGCTAGGACTACAGGTGTGCACCACCATACCCAGCTAATCTTTTCTATTTTTGGCAGAGGTGGGGTCTCACTCTTGCTCAGGATGGTCTCAAATTCCTGAGCTCAAGCAATCCTCCCACCTTGGCTTCCCAGAGTGCTAGATTACAGGCGTGAGTCACCACGCCTGGGCCAAGAATTGCTTTCTTAAATTTAATTTTGTTTTATATTAATAATTATGTAAAACATAAAGCTTTAATGTTAAAACAAGGTACAATCATGTGCCACATAATGTTTTAGTCAACAATAAACTATACATACAATGGTAGTCCCATAAGATTATAATACTGTATTTTTATTGTACCTTTTCTATGTTTAAGTTTATTTAGATACACAAATACTGATCATTTTGTTACAATTGTCTACAGTATTCAGTACAGTAACATGCTGTACAGTTTGTAGCCTGAGAGGAATAGGCTGTACCATCTAGCCTAGGCTATACCACCCAGGTATAAGCGTAAGTGTAAGTACACTCTGTGATGTTTCCACAACAATGATATCCTCTAATGATGGATTTCTCGGAATGGATCCCTATTGTTAAGTGACTCATGACTGTATATTCAGAAAAGTCTAGTGTCTATGCCTTTGCTTTTCTCTACACAAACACCACAGTAAGCTTTTATTTTTAGTTTTTACTATCTGTTTCCATTACTATCATTTTTATTAACAAAACAAGTATGTATATCTACTCACATCTCCACCCTCTTCTTAGATACTACAAACTTCTATCTTACTGTTTTACTTAGTAATATATTCTGAAGATCAAGCCATAGAAATATAGAGAGTCATCATTCCTTTTTACAGCTACACAGAAGGTAATCTTTTATAAAAGTCACAACATTTCAGGCCCATCTTTGTCATTTATAACTTAGAGGAAGGAATTAAAAATGAAAAAAACATCATCACTGACAATTTCAAGGTCTTTACTTACGCCATGCTGAAAGAGGGTTTTGCATCTTGATCAGACAAAGAAGCAATGGTGTGCTGAGGAAATCCTTCATAGAAGAAAAACGTATCACTTTCTTTTTCCAAGGAAAGAACAGGACTAGGAACCTAAAAATGCTCCTATCAAAAAGCCAACAAAGTTGTACAAAAGATCTCTTTCCTATCTCTTAGGCATGCTTATTATATATAGCATGATGAAACTGACAATAATTCCAAGCTACAAGAAAAAGTAGAGGAAATGGGGGAAAGAACTGTCTTTACACATGACCTCAGAATATGAAGCTCATGTCTATATTTTGTAAGTTAATAATGATTTACACTCCTTTTTAAAAAGAAAAAGTTTATAATTTTTACATGGCTTCTGATACAACTAAAGCTTATATTACATAGTTCACCTTCACTTTAAGCATATACTTCTGTATTTACAGTTTGGGGATGCCAAATCTTTCATGTAATTTGTTTTCCATATATAATTTTAAATTTTGAAAACATGTCCAGGAAAATCAGAAACAATTTAAAAAAAGAGATTTCATCACATAAATACTTTAAATCTGTATATCAATACAAATCAATAAAAGTAAAGGTAAATAACCAGCTAGAAAAATACTTGTATCAGTTGATTAAGATAGGGTTGATATTCCTAAAGGACTCCAGCGAATCAATTTAAAGAATAAATTGTAAATTTAAATAATAACTTTAAAATGGGCTAAGGAAATATATCAGTAAATCACAAAAGATTAGCCAACATAATACCTAAAATATACTGAGTGTTTACATCAAACATTATTCTAAATGTTTAATCTGTATTAACTCAATCCTTGCAGTACACAAGGAGGTAGATGTTGATACCATTTTAGAGATGAAAAAACAGAGGAAAGAGAGGTTGACCAGCAATATAAATACCCAAAAACAACTTAGAAAAGCATTCCATCTCACTGACATTTTAAAAACAAGCATATTGGGGAGAGCTGCAGATCGACTCCTTTGTGCTATTTAAAGAATGCCACATTTACGCTTCCCCGCATCAGCACCCCTCGAAAGCAAGATATATCATGATTTTAACTTTAGCCAAACAGATTTTCATATTATCATTTTTTCAGTTTTGCATATAGGCTACTGGAAAACTGCATGCTGAATGAAATTACTACTTCATTCCTTGTGATTTCTTGTGGCTGGCCAAACAGTGCATCGATGAAATCTTCTAGCTCTCTGACCAGCCTCTGTGGTTCAACATCCATTATACGAACCACCGGTTGCGTGCAGCATTTTTCTTGTCTTAAGGCATGATGTACTGTTTTAGTAGATCTTGTATCAGGTAGTCGTACTGATATTAAAGATGGTTCCTAGTTGATGGACTACCTTTTTAAGGACTGCTTTTGTGTTATCTCGGAGGTCTTGACCGCCCCACAGATCAGAAGGTATATAGTCGTACAGTCAGGGCTCTGGCGCTTGTATGTCTGAAAGTATCAGCTTTTCAGAGAGTGATTACTATTTAATCCCCTACATTATGCCTATGATGTCTGTTGCGCCCTTTAATTAAACAACTACTAGTCTGTGCATCCGTTATGGTGTTTAATCGCACTCCAGACATAAGAGATCGATAAATATAAACTATGTTTTTGTGTACTACAATTTACAATGTTTCGAAATACCCAGGTTTCTTGCAGTGTACAGATTGAGTTAAATTAACTAAAATTTTGTTTCCTAGTCTATTAACATGGTAATTATTTTTTAGACAGCTGACATAAATGACGTCATTTTCCTCCTTGCGACCAATATGATCAATCGTGACTCATAACAAGAAGTTCACTCTTATTGCATAGTTTGTCTGGCAGTAACTCAATGATTCTTAATGATTCATGAATAGTTGCGGGCTCTTTATCAAATATATCTTCATTTTTCTCTTCTTGTTCTTGGCTACAGCTACTAAATAAGTGTCGTATTGGTATGCGGTTTCCGATTCCGTCTTCTGACACGTTGTCATCTTCATATTTATTCAATCCTAAGAATATTTAAGTTTTATCGTTTACTCTTAACGTTATCTTATCAAAATAGCATCATATATTCATTGCTACTTTCCATCGCATTTCATTATCTGTGTTGTTTTTCTCCATGTCATTAGAGTTTTATCCGGCCGACTTCCCTCTTATCTTTGGGTCATCATGTCTTTAACTGAACTGTTAACTTATCTAATGATTGAGTATTATGGTTTTTTAATTCCCATTTGAATGTATTTTGATGAAACTTTTAGATCTGTTATACTGTCTCATCATTTTTTTTCCTTTCATTTCTACACATCCTGATTAGATGAAAGCATAGCTGCTGACATCATAGTCTCCACTCCCTCATTCGATGCTCCTTATGATGAAGCTTTGGCTTTCTGAATAAATATTGGTCAACTTCCATTTGTATTTGTTGCACAACTCATTTTACTTAAGCATTTTAACTATGGTTTTTGTTTGCTTTTTTTTGGCGCTCCTTATTCCAGCTAGGGAGTGCTGGCACACCTAGCACAGAACTCTCTCTGGCTCAGTGTTACTGCTCAGCACTTCTGATACGCTGCCCCGGATGCGCTCAGAACAGCTTTTTGTATTATTATTTCATTATTCTTCATTTTCGTCGGACGGTCTCGCTCCGCTTCTTCACCCTGCCTCAGCATCGCTGCTTGGCTCCCAGAGATCGATGACACCCACCCGCCTTTATTAGTTTATAATAATGTTATTGACGCATATTGATGATACGCATACTCATCGTCTAAGAGCCACTTGTTTATTTTTTTAGCTACCGCGATACTGTGTTCTAGAGAATTTAATGTTTCGCTGCTCGTTGGTCAGCCTTCTCCACTTGACAGAGCAGAGGCGTACGCAAGGTTGAAACAGCCTACGAAGTGAGATCATAACTAACTTACCAGCATGGATTTAACAATGTCATACTCGAGGCGCGGCGCTCATTTGAGCATGAGAGTTGGAATCTGTGACATATAGCCACATTCAGTGTGTGAGAAAGTAATAATCTCTGTCTTATTAGCACTATGAACTGCCAGGTATCTACTTGCTCATACTTTTTTTAGGAGTAAAGTGGGTTTATCATTAATTTTCTTTCTTTTTATCTTCTTTACCTTTTGGGATTTGCTCTGTACTCAGTGCCTACTCCTGGTCATATTCTGCTTCCAAGCATACAGCATGCCTGCCAATGATTTTTTTTTTGATATTACGTTACCACGTCTTTCTTCTGTTCCTATTTTCATTTATCGATATTATTATTCTGAGCCTGATAGTTATATTAGCGAGTCTATTTGTGCCCAGCAAATGAGTCCATGGGTCCCCTACTCCAGCACTACCCTGGACCACGTCTCATCCGTAGCGAATAAGGCATGCCACGCCGCTAATTTCTATATATGTTGGCCAAATCTTTCTATAAAGAGAGGTCTTGTCAGTTTCAGTTGTTTCGACTCAACCTCGAGCAGTCTGCTGCCTTGCCTCCCAGAGGCTAGGATTACAGGCTGAGCACTGCACCAGCTGGCATAGCTTTAAATGTAGTAAGATCTCTTGGCTGGAGTGGCCTCCTCATAAATCCTAGCCTCTGGAGGCCGAGAGGGTGGACCTTGCTCGAGTCGAGTTCGAAACCAGCTGAGCAGAGTGAGAGCCCGTCTCTACCAAAAATAGAAGAAATTAATTGGCCAACTAATATAGAAAAAATTAGCCAGGCATGGTGGTACAAGCCTGAAGTCCCAGCTACTTGGGAGGCTGAGGCAGTAGGATTGCCTGAGCCCAGGAGTTTGAGGTTGCTGTGAGCTAGGCTGATGCTGCTGCACTCTAGCCCAGGCAACAGAGTATGACTGTCTATAAAAAAAAAAAGAATCTCCTTGTTTAATAGCTTTGT